GACCGATCCAGACTTGTGATCCAGATTTATTATTATCACTAATGATCTTCTTAACCTTCTCATTCTCATTCTGGTTTCTCACACTGACCAGATCAATGTGATTCTGTCTGCAGTAACTCTGAGCGTCTGTCCAGTTTTTCTCCTGATTAACAAAGAAGAGTCCTGTGTTTGCTTTAAGAAAAACAAGTGGACAAAGATTCATGAATCAGTTTGTTCATTATTCTTACGCTGCTTTATGGTTTGGATGTGAACAGGAGCAGCGGTGGAAACATCAGAAACACGTCACTCAAAGACTCGAGCTGCTTCTACAGCTGGTGATATATTGAATATTCACAATATTTTCAGGATTGTTTTAAAGATCTAACATGAAGTAACACTGGGGAACATTGTGATGATTATAAAGCTCTCTCTATTGATCCATTATGAATACTTGATTCAGACACAAAGAGAAACGTCAAACAGAGGAAGATGTTACACTGCAGCTAAATATGCTATTAACTAATCCATAGAAACATTTACTTGGACTGTAGATTACTAATTTATAAATTAAGAGTTAATAAATTAATTGTTTGAATGGACAATCATGAACTGGACTTGAGTTAATGTACAAGTAAAACTAAGCTATTACAGGTTTGTGTTGAGATACTGAAGACTGAAATAAACTCTATGGCCTGTAGTCACTGCTGTATATATTTCTTATGAACATTACAGTTATTATCAGATGATTGTTATGATTATTAACAACTAGATCCATATAAATCTTTCTTTCTCTTTGTGATTTATTTTTTCTGATAGATCTGTAGTCTGTTTAACTGCAAGTTTCCATTGTGACAACAAAAGATAAAGTTTTTTTTTTTAATTTTTTTATTTTTTTACTTTTTTTGGAAAATGTCTATACAGAAATTGTATTAACAATGAAAGTGTAATGAATATACAGTCACTTCTATATTCACAATCAAATTAAAATAGGGGTTAGTAGTGCATTAAAATATGCACATCTATAAATGAATGGTTGTTGAATTTCTATAAATTAATTTTAAATAGCTGCACTCACTGTTGTTGCAGATGAAATGCCGGTTATCACTACATGGCAAATCCTCCCATTGTCCATTAAACATCATAGCACAATAACTTCCTTCTGGTTGTCCAGTCGCCCATTTCAGATAGAGCGCAGGTTCACCTGAAGACCACTGCCATTTATCACGACCCGTCTTCTGCAGCCCAATCCAGATATACTGAACACCTCCACCATTCACACTCTTCTTCAGCTCGTTCATGTCGTTCATGTTGTCAACGGTGGCCAGATCTGTGTATTTCTCTCTGCAGTATCTCTGAGCTTCAGTCCAGGTCTTCATCACATTTATAAAGTGATACTGATGCTGAACACATTCAGCTACAGAGCAGAGAGCTGTGAAAGAGAGGCTTTGATTTAATGCTTTTCATAACAGACCTAATGAAACTAGAAACCATAAATAAAACCACAAACACACTCACCAATGAGAAGAATGACATATAGCATTTGCTCCATTTCTGGGGAAGAAAAAAGTAAATAAATAAACTCAGATTTTCAATATTCACTAATTCATTTTAGTGTAAAACAAGATTTCAGTGATAATTAAAAATCCAACATAACAGGAACATAAATGCACTGTACACAATCATTAAGACAATATTAATATCTCAAAGTCTAATTTAAAGAAGGAAGATGTGAGTTATTCTTACTTTAGAGGTCGTGTGTTTCTGTCCTGAGTCTGATGTTTCTGTCTGCAGCTTCAAACTATATGATTATTATATCTGCTCTCATCCGTCATCCAGCACGTCACTTCATTTGTTTATTACTCTAAAAATAAAGCCATTTTCATTTTTCCTCCTTATTCACATGTTTTGTTTTGTTTTATGTGCTCTGTGTTGGTCTTTGTTGCTGTAATTCTTTGGAAGTGTGTTAATTTGAATGTGGTAGAAACTGGAGAATCTGCTGCATAGACAGCGATTAAGGCCCCCTGCCCCCCCAGACGAGAGCCAATAATGTTTTTTTCATTGAATGAATAAAATATGAATAAAATATACAAAATTAAAGAATTCACATTGTCTCATTTTATTTGTATTATCTAATTATTTTAGTGGTAAGAATAAGTATGTTTTGGGCAAAATTAATTATTTAAGCCCCATATCCTTGTGAGTCGCGAATGATTCTCAACTTGAGAGGACATGAGAGGACTCTCTTTTCGTTATTTTCCCGCATTAGCAAGTTAACAAATATTCTTTTTTTTTTTTTTTTTTATAAACCCGCTAATAAAAATGTGGTGGACTGAGTCATTTCTGGCTGAATTGGACAGGCGATTTGAAGCGATGGCCTTGAGTGTGGCGTGTGATGCAGTATTCAGTTTAAGCATGTACGCAAGTCTTAAAGAGGTCATCGGATGGATGCCACATGCACTTTTACAAGCTGTTTAAACTGAAATGTGTGTTTCAGTGTGTGTACACAACCACCCTATAATGATAAAAATCCACCCAGTGTTTATTTTTTTTATCTCGTTGAATCATTTCCCCTTTCTCAAATTGAGCCGATCTCAGATGCCTGTCTGTGTGACGTCACACAGACAGGCCCCTCCCACGATAGTTTGATTGACAGTAGCGTTTCAGCACAGACTGGACTGGTGTCTTACCTTAGCTCCGCCCTGAGTGAGCTGTCATCAGTCCACCATTATTGTTCTGACACCGGAGCAGATGTAGGCAAAAATGTCTCCTAAGCGATTGAGGTGTTCTGTTGGATGTAATAATGAACATAGCAGTCGTCATTTACTCCCGACATTTGAGCCGCTGAAGACGCAGTGGATTACATTTGTTTTTAAAGGGAATGCGCCCCCGACCTACCTAAATGCGTCTATGTTCGCGCGAATCATTCGTGATCCAGCTTCACCTACAGAAGAAGTGAGTGTAAGGTTTTTTTAATGAATCTTTACAAATCGCCTTTCCTAATAACGTTTTAGCAAGTTTCACGATGAATGTGGCTAAAGTTTACCGTTGTTCTGACAAATAATTCTACCTATCAGATTATGCTACCAACACATTATTTATCCTACTATAAGGGTAGGTTTAGGGTTGGGGTAGGTGTACATGTTAATAAAGCCTCACAACTTATCATGCTGGAAACAAAATCTGATAGGTAGCACTTTTCGCTATCAAATTATGCTACCATCTGTTTTAATGGGAGGTAGCAAAATCTGACAGGGTAGCACAAATCATCAGAACACCGTCTCTCAGAGAGCGGCTCGGAAGAGAGGAGCGGGGCGAGCAGAGCTCATTTGCATTTAAAGCAGCATGCAATAAAACAGCTTGCTCTGAAAAGAGCTGTTTTTGACAGGGTAAAAACGGTGTTGTTTTACACTACCATTGAGAAATTTTAACCAAACTATGTTACAGAAGACCCTAAAGAATCATATCAACTTTTGGAAAATGCGCATCCGATGACCCCTTTAAGATTCACCCTGGGCTTGTGACAGCTGAAGTGGATCTTGTGAAATGTGCGATTGCATCGCCGATTACTCTTGAGAAACTTAAAGATGAAGTAGGCTACGGAACTTTTTCAAACTACTGCAGTTTGCACTCACGCTGCCCATTGGTTCAGCTACATCAGAAATAAGTTTCTCAGTTATGAGGAGAATCTGGCTCCGATCTTCAGTGGCACAGGACAGATTCTCAGATCTTTCTTTACTGCACCTAGAGAACGATTTGACTATCAGAAGAGAAGAGATAGTGAAAGAAAGACAGTGGTCATCTACACTCTAAAACAAGATGGTTCTGTAAAGGTTCTTTACAAGCAGTAATGGTTTTATTTAGAACCATAGCATTCTGAAGAACCCTTTTATGCTGAAATGGTTCTTTGTGTTAAGAGTGTAGGGTTCTTTGTTCCCGCCCTTTTGTTTTTCAAATCTGTAACTGTCAAAGCATCTCATTACTGACTTTCTGGAGCTCAGTGATCCAACTACACAGACTGTCAGCACACTCTCAACAGGTAAATGATTTCATTCTTAAATTGAAATACAAATGTAACTTTAAATAAAAAATATAACTGGTTTCCAAACAAACATGTTCTTATCTCTTTTTTCTTTTAGTTTTTGGTTACATATAAGTGTGTGCAGCTCTGCTAAGCTGTGGAAACTTCTCTCCTCTTCTCCACAAAGTAAGTAAACGAGACAATTAATTTATAATTCATATTGTTAATTTTTTTATATTATTACTTGGGTTTATGTATAAACATACCCAGTCACAAAACAATATTAAAACTATCCCACAAGATTGCGAAGGGCTCACATACTGTCCCATTTTTGCTTTTGGCCTTCATAAACATAATTGTTTTTACATAAACACACTGTACCGCTAATCATTACTGATTTTCTGGAGCTCAGCCATCCAACTACACAGACTGTCAAGCACACTCTCAACAGGTAAATATTTTTTTTTCTTAAAATGTCTATAAATTATAACTTTCAAATGCTAATTGGTTTCCTATGTCTTTTCTCTTTTTAGTTTAAGAGAACATGTAAGTGTGACCAGCTCTATTCAGTTAAGGATACGCTCCTCTTCTTCACTAAGTAACACAGATATTGAATTTATGGTCCCGTTTGTTAGATATTTTTTTACTAGGGTTTATGCATAAACATACCCAGCTATCCCATGACTTTATATACTTTTTCCTTTTAACATTGTGAAGTGCT